AACTCCCTTTTATACAAACAGCAGCAGCTGATCTGATGCCTTGAGATTGTGTTAATGCTGTGAACAAATGTGCTTCGTGTTGCAGGGGTGAAGTCATAGCCAAAGCTGGGGCTGAGGAAACAGTTATCTACTCAGATATCGGTAAGCAAAGCTTTTTGTCCTGCATAAGACTAAAGACACAGGTTGTTGGTTTGGTTTTTTTTCTGTCTGGCCTTATTCACCCAGTTCCAGCTGAAGCAGGGTTGCCATCCCTTCTCAAACTTTACTAGAGGAAAGAACAAGCAGCAGCAGGACTGGACTATTCCTGCTTCTTTACCTATGAGGAAGCTACCACCTTAGGAAAGAACAAAGCTGAGGCTTCTTTCCTGGTTGCCCAGTTGCTGTGCCCTACACTCAATCACCATGAAAGCAGCACTCTTCCTGCCTTGCATCAGCAAGTCCTTTTTGACCACTGTTCTAATAGCTCTTTCTTTCTCCTTCAGATTTGAAGAAACTTGCAGACATCCGTCAACAAATTCCCATTTTAAGCCAGAAGCGTCATGATCTCTACGGCATAGAGATGAAAAAGTGAAGCTGGGTGAACAGGAAAGGATCTAGTAGCACAGTAGCTGCTGCTTCCATCTTCAGGATTCCCTTACTGGTTGCTCCACAGGCTACCGTGATAATTGATTAGGGGCAAAATGACTTACTGGTATAATTCTAAAATTGACTGAAGTACAACTTTAATTTACAGTATTAAACAGCTAGGATGAAGCTGGAGGTGAAATCAACTAAGTAGCAGTTAATCTTTTTAGTCATTACTGCATTTAGATACTTTTGTTTGTTTTGCTCTTAAGTTTCTGAGGTTTTGTTTTAGGATGTAGAGAGGTGGGAATTATGTTCTCTCTGGAAATCCTCTGAAGTCAGCTTTAGTATTATGAACTTTCCTCTGAATTATCAGGGGCTCTACAGGTATGACTTCCACATCAGTACCTAAATGACTCTGAGTTTCTTAAACTCCCAACTTCAAACCAGGCAAGCTTAAAGTTTAATACACTAAGCAAAATAGGCCAAATTCCACTCGGAACTACTTAAAGACAACGTGATTAGCAGTCAAACAGAATCGTTACTATGCAAGAATCTGTTAACAGATCCTGGCTGGAAAATCTGTATTAAATCCTTAATACAATTCCTGCTTATTGCTGAAGTGATGTTACTGTTCTGTCAAAGAAGCTCACTTGTCACCACACCCTTGCTCTATCACTGCTTCCTGAGTGTAATGTCTGAATTGGTTTTAGTTTCGCTTTCTTGCTGTGTTCTATTGAAAAGGCTGAGGGGTCAGTCAAAACAGTTGGAAAATTGGTTGCCTTTCTGTCCACAGTGTCACAGAATGCAGATATCTGTATCACTAAACATCTACAAGCATTACTGCTACCAAAGGCCAGCTCCCTCCAGCTGTGTGGATATGTTCCCCATTGAATTGCTCTTGCTTAAGAGACCAGCAAACTGGTTAAAGATGGCTTTGAAGAACTTAAAGGCAGTCTTGCACTTTGTAAGAGATTTTTTCTCAGGAGGGCACCTTAGTGGTTCCATTTCTAATGAAAAAGCAAAGTATTTGCTGATGGCAAATGTTTTAAGTGGGAAGCAAAAAGAAGCATATATGACTATTCATGCTTTACCTCTGTGCTTTTAGTTTACCCCAACACAAAGGATGATTGACAGGCAAAAGGAGATTTCAGATTACAGAAGAGGACAGCTGAAAGCTTTTGTCTTGTTCTATCTAGCTACTTGTGCCCCAAACCATCTTACCTGTTCCTTGTTCAGCCATCCTTCTCCCTCAGCTATCCTCTTTTTCTGATGTTCCTTTGACTTCTCTGGGGTTAGTCAGCTGCGTTGTTCAGAGGCCCCAGCCACCTATAGGGGAATTAATGGTTACATTAAGTTAAACCCTAAGAAGTCTTTCCCCTAAAAGGCAGGTCCATCGTTCCATTCAGTGGCATTATCTATTCCAGCAGCCTTCTGTGCCTGTGCTTTCTCAGCACTTTGGTCTACACACCGTAATGGAACTCTTAAGAAACACGCCATGGAGCGTAAGGTGAAATGAAAATTTATTTGTTGAAAAATAAATATAGAAAAATTAACATTGAGTCAGATTTACTGCATTAAATTGGTGCCTGTCACATACATAACAATCAACACTACTGAAAGGCCATCACAGGGGTCTGACTTCTAAACCACACCAGCTATTATATATCCTTCTGAACTACCACATCTTTCCTACCACCCCTACACTATACTAATATACAGCAAAATGGAACACTCATCTTTGGAGGATAAAAGAAATGCAGGTCTCTCAACAGCTAACCACTTCAGTGCGGTGATGTAAGATCCAGTCTGAAACAGGCAATAAAACAAAATCTGTGGCATGGATGGAAATTCCCCTGGAATTTCAAATGGACAGAACAAGTGAAAATGTGTAGTGGCCCACTTTGGTGAATGAAGCTGAAGAGGTGATGTGAGCTCAGCCCTATTTGTCAGGTGGAGTTGTAAGTACCTTGTCCTAGGAGGCTGCATTGGGAATCTCCAGGAACATTTACTCAGTCACTCAGAAATGATACCAATGGACTGAACTTGAGAGCGTTTTGCAAACAAAATGTACACAACTGGTTCTCAGCGAGGTAGCTAAAGCAGCCAGTACTCAATTCTGTGTTAGCAGGAGACAGGCACTTTAAAGTATCCACTTTTTGCATGTGCACTAATATTCTGTTAAACATATAAAACTAGCCAGTAACAGCTCTGAAATAGCTGTCAAAGTAGATCCTACTAAATCAAGGCACAGCTTTTAATCTCCATTTTGGCAAACTAACCTCTGCATCTTAACACAAACAGCAGGAATTATGTGATCAGAATTAAGATGCATCACAACTATGCAAAGAACCAACTTCCCATAGGTTCTACCATACACAGTGTTTATCCAGACCTTCATTACTAACTTCCTACATGACTTCACTGTGTTTTTTTCTTTAAATAGCAGCAATAATTGTTTCAACAGTAGCCCTCAACCCCTCTTTAAAAAAACAAAACAAAAAAAACAACAAAAAAAAACATTTCAAGGCAAGTTCACATGTATACCTGGCCTAAAACAAACCCTCACACATCAGCCAATAAAGAAATGAATTCCCTTTCCCTGGAGGAGCCTGAGCAGAATCTAACTGCACACGTGTATGAAGAGGGTGTCAGCTACTCAGATTCCCAGCTCTATCTCCCTGCAAGCTTCAGCCCTCCAGATCATACCTCTGCAGGGGATGGTAGCAATCAGAGATAAGGTTCCTTCATTCCATGTCTCCTCATCTTTTCTTCAAGGCTCAGGTGAGAGATGAGAGGCAGTCAGTTATTATTAATTCTTCCTAGATGCGGAGCAACCCAAATAAGTGCAGAGAACACTTCCATCAAAACCTGCTCTTATTCATGTCAGAGAATGATACTTGAAGGTAATATTTATTTTTTTTTTCAGTTTACAGGTGATACGTCATTTACAAAAAAATTACAGACAATGCATCCTTTTCAGTGCAGTTTCAAACTAGTTCAAGAACAGGCAAGAGTCTGTGATCATTTGGAATGCTAGTATTTGACAGCACATGCTTTTTTCCCTTAATTGGTTTGGTGGGGACAGGAACGGGGTAAAAGTAGGGTGAAGAGGAGAAAAAGCCAATGTAAATAAGGCCATGCAAATAAAAACTCCTCAGGAGAAAAGGACAATTCGGTCAGAATGGCATAATTTTGTTCTCGGGAACAAATGCAGGAACTGATGCAGAGATAGCAAGTTCCAGAAGGCATTTGACACTTGTTACACACAATGTCCTTAGCAGCTGCAAGTACCTTCCAGTGCCTTCAATTCTATGCCAACGCCACGATTTCGGATCACATCAGTAAGCTAACTAAAATACAAAGATTAACTCTCCACATCTACAGTTCACCATTTCCATTCTCAATTGTTTTTGCTGGAAGAAAGGTAGGTCAAGTTGAAAACACAAGCTGCTGCTATGGAGTGCCACAAGGAGAGAACAAGACAGTTTGATGGCAGTCTGGTTCATTTCTTTAAGAGGTGAAATACATTAGAAAATTCAACACAAGCAAATCTATGATTTTAGAACGGGTAGAAGCACAGATCAATGTATGGTAAACTAAGCGACATCAATTACGTAATTGCACGAGTTTTATCCAGCCACATCAGCCCAGGGAGAGGCACCACAGACTGACTACAGTATCAGATGGATCAACCCAAAGCAGCAGAGAAGTGCTCACTGAAGTTCATAGTTAGAGGATGAGTGCTTATGCTAGTAGTAACTTGCCATCCTGCTATTTGCCAAACAGTTGCTTCTTTTGTTCAGTATCTGTAATCTTAGGCAATACAGGGCCTGAGGAACAAGGGAACTAGCAAAGGTTCTGAATCCATGATTTGAGGGTTTAGACTATGCCTTGTTCTTTATCTCACTTAACCCCGCAGAGGGCTATTACAAGGATTAGAGCAGAACACAGAAGTCTCTAGGGACCAAAGAAGAGAATTTAGACAGTTGTATGAACTCTTAGATTTCAGCAATGGACAGATCAAAGCAAGCATGACCATACCTAGGCAGCTCCACTCCCAGCAGTGCTTTCTATCCTTGAAAGTCTCTCAGAACCCTACAGAACAATTTCTTATGATATTCAAGTAAGCATTGCTGCACAGGAACATGGCATCTCTTCCAGTAAAATCTGCAGTAAAGTAGCATTACCTAACCTCTTTCCCCAAAAAACCTTTGTACTAGCTCTCCTACATGGACACCTGGGCTTTCTGGGGTGAGAATAAGGACTATCAAATTAATTCCCTAATAGCTGCCACAAGACTATTTTTAAGTTGTAATGCAGAGGGTAGGAAGGGCTTTAAGGGAAGATTGTGCATGCTTGCATATATTTACAGAATTCTCTTCACAGCTACTGGCTTTAAAAAAGAAAAAATCTGTTAACAAACAGTTTGTAAATTGTTGGTTTTTTTTCCTTTTTGCAAAATTAAAATCAACCCTCAAGAATTAATATAAAAGAGATACCTATTTTACAGCACTGACTAGTATTACCTTTAAAATCAACAGGGGAAAAAAAAAAACATGCTGTAATATTATTTAGTAAAGCAAAAATCACCCATAACGTAATCACTCAAAATGAACCAATATAAAGTTTTTATTTGCATGGCCTAAGTATCTTCCATTTGTTCCTCTGCAACTTTTTTTCCCCTTAAAATGCTTTAAGGTTTTTGTTGCAGAAGAAACAAGATGCAACAGTGCATACTCCCTTGAATAACCATTCCCACAACACCTAAACATTTAACAGATGTAGCAAATGACAACACCACGAACGGGAAAAAACTAAGTTCCACCATTCAACATGGTTTGCAACAGCGTCTTTAGGGCTGACTGAAGTGGGCAACTTCTAAAGTGAAGTCATTTCCTCCTCTTGTTTGTTTTGTGTTTGTTTTTACAGTGTTGGTGGTTTCAATCCATACTTCTTTGCAACTTCTGTCTGGGCGTAGGCAGCATCGCAGAGCGAGTAGAGGTGGGCCATCTCCATTTCAGATTTGGCCAGGTTGATAGCTTTGTTGAACATTTCAATGGCTTTATCTAGATTACCTCTGAAATAAACCAAAACGTGATCCAATTAAGAACAGCAAATTAATTTTTGCATCTCTGCAGCACCTTTTCTGAAACCGAATGGTCAGGTTTGGGTGTACAGTTCAGGACTCTCAGTACAAATAGTCCATTAAGGTATGTTTAAGGACTACATCAGATACATAGGAATTCTAATGAGAATTAATTAAGTAATTTTAAATGCAGAAGGGATGTATTTAAACACACAGACTCATCTACATGCTATCCAGTAAGTATGAAATTGGCCATATCATAAACCAAAATGCCACAAATAAAAGCAAGGCTTTGCCCAAGAGTTACAGAACAGTAATCAAGACAACAGTTAAGAACTGGCCTCTTACTGCACTTGGAGATGACCTTAAGAAAGGTTTAAGATCTGGGGAAAGCTAAAGAACTGCTGTATTTCAAAAATAACTCAGAATTCTTAACACTGCGCTTCATTATTACCTTTGCACTTCAATCGTTCCCATGGTTTCATATGCAAAATCACATTTGTTATCAATTTCAATGGCCTTGCTTATGAGTTCTAAACCTTTGTCTAAATCTTGCTTCCACTGAAGCTGAAGTAAACTGAAAAGAAAAGAGAAAATTTAGAACGTCACATATTCTCCATAACCCAGATCACATTTAAGGGTAGAGCACGGCAGATGTTAAGATGTGGTTAAAGTGACAGTCAGATACACTTCAAGCAGATACTCAATTGAATGATTATTGATGAAACTTTACTGAAATTTCAATCTCATTTCCAGTTCAGTCAAGAGAAACTGCAGAAACAACAGCACCAAGTTGTTTTTGCAAAGCCACTTCTGGCTAAACTTCTCAACACCTACCTTCAGTTTGGATTGATTCAACTAAATATGCCAACTGCCCCTGACCCAGAGGATTGCAAACTCGATACATACCCTTTATGAACATACGTAGTGGCATTGTCTGGCTCAAGATCAATGCATTTATCATACATTTCATCAGCCTTGCCAAACTGCTGTTGATCAGTTAGTGCCTGCAACGAAAGAGAAACCTATGTATCAATATGTAATCAAAACATGCAGCCCCAGCTAAGCTAATTCTAACATTATATTGGACATAGCTCTCTTATCAGAGAGCAGGCCAAGCCTGTTACAAAACTGAGTCTTTTCAGAAGAAGGCTGCTTGTTATGTGCAAAAGTTACTGATCACAGTACCATCTGTAACAGGAGATCCCCAAGTAACATGTTAAAGAGCACTACAACTAAAAATAACAATAAAAATCATTCTGGAATGATGTCCATAAATGCACATCTCAACTTCCTTTTTTAATGTATTTCTGCTTCAGTTATTTCTTCGAACTGATCAAAAGGAACCAGAAATATATGCTTCCATAGAACCCCCCTGCTTTAAAACAGAACATCTGATATTACTACAATCAGCAGCATGTTTTCTTAAAGAACAAAGGGCATTCTTTGTTACAAGTGTACTTCAAACATCTGTAGTTTAATCTCTTTGACCAAACAGAGTATATAATTTGTAGTAGAACAAAACTGCTACCTTAGTTCTGCATGCATGACTCCCAAATTAGAGACAGAATCCCTGCCATTAATCAAATGAGATATTGTATATAGGCAGGAATTCAATAGGAAGCGTACTCCAGACCTTTCTGTCTTAATAACCATCTTTTATTCTCATTGTTTACCTTCTGACTGCCTACTACCTCCTCTGTCCCAACACACCCACACCCATAAATTCAAGCACTGTGTTACCTCAGAACTTACCTTCAAAGACTTTTATTTCAAGAGTTTTACCTTATCCAAGACAAAAGGCACAAAAAATGCAGCTGTTTTTATAAAGGAACAGTAAAATGTACCTGAGCATAAAGAGCATAGCCTTCAGCACACTTTGGAAACTTTTTGATGACATCTTCAAAGCCTTTCATAGCTACTTGCACAGGCAAAGGATTATTCCCTGTATATGCTTGGCGATACTAATCAAGGAAATAGAAAAAAGAAAAAAAATAGTAAGAAAAATATGGTTCATCGCACCTCCTCACTTCCCCAAGAGATGCGTGTGACATAGCAATTCCAAGTTCTAGGAAGTGAACCTATCAAACCTGCTTTTTAGGAACCCACCATGTTTCTGATCCTCCTAGCAGACTGGACTACTAGAAAAGAAAGGGTAAGAGGAGGAATCCATAAGACCCAATAGTTGCCAAAAGCCTCCTTCTACTTCAAAAGCCTAGAAATTACAAGCTTAGAACTGTTCCTTTCTCACACCATGCAAAGCTGACCCCTGGAGATCTCTGCATGCAGACACACTACAGCAGCTTGAAACAGTTTCTAACTTCTTGAAGATCAACATTTACATAACACTGACTTAAATAAAGCTTTGGGTGACACAGTTAAATTGCAAATTTCTGCTTCTCGATCACAATACAGGCAAGGCAACCTACTGTTAAATAATGAGCACTGTGAAATAATAGTAAATCCTTATTCCAATGAAGAGATTATTATTTCCTTGCCCTATTATTATAATACATTGTTTGTTGCACTACTTTTCCATAAACTCAGAAGAAAACAGAGAAACAAAGTATGCTTAAAAGAAATCTTTGAAATCAGGGTGTCAAGATAACATTACCTACCAGAGCAAAACATTTCTGTGCTTGAGCCAAGGCAGAATCCGGTCGCAATCGGATACATTCATCAAAGTCTTCCACAGCCTCTTCAATTTGGTCGAGCAGAATTTTCAGCTAACCAGAATAAAAGAAAATCCTATTTCTGTATTTAATCTGTGCTTCGTACATTTAAGTGATAATTCAATTAGCATCAGTTATTCATATTGTCCACAGTTCAGTTTTAGATCTAGAAATTTACAAAAACCATGAGTAAAAAAAAAAATTACTGTCATAAAACAATAAGGCCACCAATGAAACATCGACTTCATACATAAAAAGGCAACATTCATGTGTAGAGATTGAGAACACCTTCATTTTAGACTGGCGTATTGTCATCATTGCTTGAGCTTAATGTCCAGTCTCCAAAACTGTTCCATACTTTCTCAAGTCACTTTACCTCTCTGCAGCTAATGCCTGTGAACTGTCTAGACATCAAAATATTGTGGCTTTCCCAACTGGTGTTTTGACATTCTGATTAGTCCACAAGAGGCTGCACAGCACAGAGCAGAGCAGGACAACCCCTCCCCCTGCCTGGTGGCAGCGCTGGGCCTGATGCACCCCAGGGTACAGTTGGCTCTTTGAGCTGCCAGGACACGCTGCTGGACCACATTCAACTTGCTGACAGCTAGAACCCCCAAGACACCTTTCTGCAAAGCTGTTCTCCAGCTTCTTGTTTCCCAGTCTGTACACAGATCCAGGGCTGCTTCATCCCAGTTGCGGAATCCAGTGTTTATTCTTGTTAAACTTCACAACTGCCCAACCCTCTAGTTTGTCAAGATCTCCCTCTGCATGGCCTCTCTACCCTCAAGGGAGTCAATTTAGCATCGTTCACAAACTTAGTATACTTCTCAGTTCTGTATCCAAATCATTGATTACACAGTCAAAAATCCCAAACACAACTTGTTCTAAAATGGAGCCTGTGGACCTCCACGACAGACTGGACATCAACCTGATCTAAAAACCACATTTACTGTAACCCTTTGAACCTGACCTGTGAGCAAGTAACACTATCAAAAGCTTAGCTGAAATCAAAAAGATGACATCTACTGGTTTCCCTTGGTCAGCTAAGTGAGTAACTTCATTATAAAATGAGATTAAGTTCATGAAACAAGGCTTTCCCTCAAGAACCCATGTTGGCTGTGACCAACGACTGTACTGTTTTACAGTTGTTCACAGTAACTCCCAGAATAATCTCTACAATTTTGCCAGGCACCAAAGTGAGACTGATAGGCCTATAATTACCAGGGTCTTCTTTCTTGCTTTTTTGAAGACTGGGGCAAAGTCTACCAGCTTCCAGTTGACCAGAATCTCTCCAAATGTCCAAGACCATTGAAACATAATTCAGAGAGGTCCTATGATAACATCACTCAGCTCTTGGAATACCCTGGTGTGAATCTAATCTGGCCCCATAGAATCCTAAGCACACAGCTGGAACAAGGTGGAGTTGGCTTGGAATTACTGCAGTCAAGTCCTCCAACTCAGGGATCTGGGGTCCCAGAAAGCATCATCAGTGTTAAAAACATAGGTAAAGAAAACATTGAATGTCTATGCTTTAGCTGTGCCCCTATCTGTAAGCCTTTTATGTACCAAGGCAGATTCTGAGTTAACAAAAACAGGTGGTTGCATTTGTTCTAACAAAGTTTCCCTCCAAGTAGCTACTGCTCTGACATATCAGGCCCCTTTACAGAGCAGTTTAAGTATATATAAGCTCTAATATTTTCAAGTCAGAGTTTGTATTGACAGAGGGCTGAACTTCTGTTACTCTGCATTGTCTCCTACAGCAATTAGCTAGTTCTCCCTGACCTCAACCTGCAGATCTGAATGCAACAGTTCCAAATTAGGACTTCAACTTTTTCTACCATAAACAGTTCAGACTGTGTATATACACAGCCCACGCCTATGGGCATTTTTAGCTCTTTACTATTCTTTTAGTATATACTGAAATATTTGAGTACTGGGACAAAAATCTCTAATGATTCTTACTTGTCCTCGATGGTGGTAAACATCTGCATTTTGAGGATCGATATCAGCAGCCGTGTTAAAATCTTGAGTGGACAGTGCAGGTTGCTGCTGCTGCATGTACATACTTCCTCGTTTGATCAGAGCATTAGCTCGCAGCTGTAAAAAAAACAAGTTCCAGGAAGTATTAACCACTCCAACACTCCTCCCAGTTTATGTCTTTGTTACAATTACACTATTGTCAAGTGACTGCTTTCTCCTACAGACAGATATCATTCATTCTAAAGAAGGAATAAACTTCACATTGAGTATAGAACAAGTAAATTCCTTCATCTAGTTTCAAATATATCATCTTATGCTTCCATCTCATAGGATTTGCACCCCCCCCAAGAAATTAATTCAAAGATGGTTTCCCTATGCATACAAATAAACCAGCATTTTTAGCAGTTCAATATGCAACTGTAATTAATGTCTTCTTATTTATTAACTTAATTTTCAGATTGCATAAGCCTTTAATTGATTTAGCTTCCTTTGTTCTTTTGTTTCTATCACTTAGCACAGATGTTTTGGAAATAACCCCTTGAAAAAACTACTTGTCAGGAAAAAAAAAAAAAAGACAAAACAGTAAGAGAAACTAAAGCATTTCCATTAAAGCACTTCAAAACTTGGAAAAAAAGAAAGAAAGGTCAGAGCTATACTTCAAGTTTATTATCTAACATACGTTTTCTCAACCCAAACTTCAATCCAGCTGTGACAGATTCTTACCTTCACATTTGCATCTTCCATGCTGATGACCTGATCTAGGTCTGGTTTGGCAGCATTTGCATTGCCAATAAGTAAGTAGAAAGTAGCTCGCAGAAGCAAAGCTTCTGCCATGTATTTTCCCTTTGCTTCAATTTCTTTTGTGCACTCACTGATAATTTTGTCATAGTTCTCCTCTTCCATATATTGTTTTGCTCTCAAATAGCCAGAGCTGTAAATGATGTAAGAACAGTTGTATTCACTGAACACTGCAATTTCAATTCAGACTTTTCTTTAAAACTAATTTCTGCTATACTAAATTATAACACTAGCATTATAAGTAAAGTAACAAATATTCCTGGGCAGAATCATCACAGATCCACAACAATTCAAACATAAAATGCCACAGTAACATTGGAATGAAAGATTTTTATTTTTTTTTTTCACCTACTTGCTTCATTTGTCCCTTGAATGTTTTTCACATTAAGGACTGTGTGAATCTCTACTTTAAAACGGAAGGGCTAAGATGGCACAGCAGGTCAGAAAAATGAACAGTGAACCTAGCAACGTGCAGTTTGTACGCGGAAGAATGGATTTCAGATTTAAAAAAATTACAGTAAATGCTGCCTTGTTCTCAGCTACATGTTCTGGATTCACTGAATCTGCCTGAATATCAGGCCATTCTATCCTCATTTTAAAAGTTCATTGTGCTGTTTGCAATGGTCTCCATATTGACAGCAGTGGTTATCTTCCAAATAATCAACTGGAGACAGCATAGTAAGTCAAAGCCCCATTTAGTTAGCGCTCAAACTTCACTCAGAAAAAATAATAAGTGCAAAAGCACTCAGGCTTTTCTTTGTCAGAATGAAACTTGTTTATGAGGAATCTGATTCCAAAAACACAAATATCCTTTCAGCCTCAGTTGCTGTTATTCAGTTCTCATCAATAGACAGGTTTTTTCCTGAGCTCTTCCTTCTCCCTTTCAATCCAAAGGATGATTTGCTCTCTTCCTTCAGAATTCTCCTTCAGCATAACATATTCCCTTCTTCAGGAGCCACTTTCAGTACTTTCTAGTTTTCTCTTACTCTCTACCACAGTATTTTAGAAAATATTTGGCTTGTCTGCCCCATTTTGCACTTCCTTTGTGTAAGGGATCAAAGACATCTGCAGTTTGGAATTAGCCAGTCAGCCCTCCTAGTTTCCTTTTTAATACAGATTTTACTTCATAGGTTTATTTTATTACCACAGGATCTCCCCGGGCAGGTACTGTAAAATAACAGCAACTTAAACTGAAAAGCACATCAAAATCACTAAGAACAGTTTCAACAGCAAACAATTTCCAACTGTACTGTACACTCACTTTTCTTTTACTTCAGAAGCCTCTCCCTCTTTATCCTTATCCTCATCTGATTTCTCACCCTTAAGCAAAGGCTGGGAGATGATATCATCCGTAAAAGAACTGAAATAGGATTTAATGAACTGTGGCGAGGGCATCAGAGGCTCACGATTCTGAAACACAAATACAATGTCATTTCACTAGATTGTAAGACCAGATGGCAATATCCTAATTCTTACTTGGGGCTTGGCCCAGACACCAAATATTTCACCTGAAGCATGAGAAATAACACCTTGAATGCAAAATCCTTTGCACAGCCATAAAAAGTTTCTACAAAAGAGAATTACGATTCAGTCCTTCCTGCAAGTGAAATCTGAATACACTCCTCTCTATTAAATTCAGTCATAATACTCTTGACAGAAAGAACATCTGTTTTATGATGCTACCACTATCATACTAAAAGGAGGATTTTCTTTTTGTTACCTCGATGTCACACAACTATGTGAGTTTCGACAGAAAAGAAATTCAGCATCTCAAAGCCAATGAGCATTTCAGTAGGTGAACTATAATCACAAATAACAAGCTAGAATAATTTAACATATGCCCCAAACCTAAGGCCACTTAAAATGACTCTTCCAGGCTACCTCTATACTTCCACAATTCTTGCTGCTGCAGTTTCCAAACACTTATGCAAAGAAATCTGAGCGTCCAAATAGAAAAGTACAAGTGTAAGCACCCATTTACATAAATGGATCAGGAGAACAGTGACTGTTGCAAATAATTTGTGAGGGATTAAATCATATTTCTCAAGACAGAATCAGGAAGTCTGACCATGGATAAAAGGATGAGATTTTGCTCTGCACCATTTTTTTTCAGCGATGTTTTTTGGTTTTAAGAAAAAAAAAATCCCACCCAAACCAACAATGCTATTTAACCACTTTCTAAAATCCAGAAATTCCACTGTCGACCTAATCCTTCCTGCATGAAATTTCTATTTACAAAGCCAAGAATAACCTAGAGGTAAAACCTCCTCTATTATCATCCTTCTCATTTTAAGCTAGTCATTACATAACAAATTTTATTACTCATTTTCGTGTATTGTTCATAAACTTTCTTATCTCAACACCTGATGTGCAATTGAATATTTGACTGCTGTTGTTCTAACATCCATTATCTTCCAAGTCCAGAAAAGCTGAAATAAGGCAACACATCAGCTCAGGATTGTCTCTTGAAAACCATCATAGTTTTGATTATTACAAGGAAACAACTTGACTGTTAGAAATAGGCCCTTCTTCTTACAAAGGTTTCAAATTGTTTGATCAGATCCCAACATAAAACAACGGTGATATATTAGTCTTGTGAAGACACTGACAAACTTGCAACAGTCACCAGATTATCAACAAATGCTGTTTCAACAGTCAAGTGAAATTAGCATTTGTCAGCAGCATCACAAGCCTTACCTTGTATTTCTCTTTGGCCTTTTCTTTTCCAAGGAGTTTGAGAACTTTATCAGCTAATAACATACTCTGCTGGTTTTGGAAGGCTTCTAAAATGCAGACTGCAGTGACATCTAAGAAATAACACAGAAATTGAGATTATCAACCAATTCTGATAATTACTAAGCACTATAAATGTGCCACAAGTACAGTGAGTTATTCTCAAACTAACACATGTCCTGTAATAACAGCAAATGAAGGAAATTATCATTTTTACTATTTTTAATCTTTATGACTTCACACATAGACAAATAGTAAAAATTCATACATCTAGCAGGGGCTTTCAACATTTTGAAATGTTAAGAATAGCAATCAAGTTAACAACCTGTGCATATTAAAAGAATCAAAGTGGTTTGTCATCTGGAATTGGTCATAATTCTCTACATAAATTTCTGCTTTTAAACCTCATTTTTTGTTCATGTCTCACTCCTTTCTCAGCTTTTAAGAAAACTTCCCATATTATATTTCCATCTTTTTCTGCCTACCTCTGTGCCTTGGGAAAGAAGCAACTTTAAACGATGCATCTCTGTAGCACATTGGAAGTGCTAACTCCTATCACTTTCATTCACTCAGAGCCTTTGAAAATGTTAACCCATTGATGCCTGAATAATGCTTTGCAGTGTTAAATGCACTCTCATGGTACATCATTCTTATTTCTTCTAATTAATGCAATGTTACTATTGATACTTTCTATTTATTTTCTAGTTAAACTGCTGTTCCATTAATGGAAATACATGAAGAACAAAATCAACAAAAGAGGTTTATCAGCGGCCTCAGATACAATATCCCATGAATAAGGTTATTAAGTGAAGATGAGCAGAGTTTGGACTTGAAATTCAAACCCTGTCTCGTTTGAATGAACTTGAAAAGCAAGTGTCCTACCTTGAAGTTTATGTCTAACTTCTGTAATACTACACTGCTATGCAGCACAACTCCCTGTAACTTGGGCATGGTCAAGAAATGCAAGAGCCCCTGGAAAAACACAGCACAATCATAGCATATGCAGTAATACCATACTCTGCCACTTTAAGTGCCCGGCAGAGACGCTTTGCCCAATATAGGCAAGCTGTAAACTAGTGCCCAGGCTTGAGTGAGGCATCAACATCTTCCCAGACTACCATGGATCAGTAGAGAGGTGTTTTTACCAGTGGTGGCAGATTGTTTTGTTTCTGCTTCCTTCCATTACACAAACATACTCTATTTCCGAAGACCATATTGCCCATATATGGTTGGCAGATTAAAAAAAAAGTATTTAATAGATGCATAGCAAATTGCAAGCTAAAAATCAACCACCGAATGTAATTATTACAAACACTGCTGCTTCTAACAGATTAAGAGTCATACTATCAGAACAGCAGCCCATTCTTAGGGCTTTTATAACCTATTTATTCCAACTCTGTAAGGTCATTGATGTTATTACAGTACTTGGCTTAGCTGAAAATTCATTTGCCTTTTCATCTTGCATCAGGAGAACAGCATTGCAAGAGTTTAACACAGCAGATTCTGCCAAATATACATCATTAACATAAAAAAAACCGATTTTTATTCTAATCCATTCCAATCTGCCTCCTCTGTATCAGGAAAAAAAATGGTACTGAAATTGTTTTCCTTTTTACACCTGCCACGTGCATTTAAAGGGCTGTAACACTGGTCTCTGACTAAGCACCTCCATCCGTGAAAACACCTTGTTTTTGGAACTTTCTTTCTAAAAGCAAGAAACTTTGTTACCATGCAGAATTAGAAAGATTGTAGCCTGTGTTATACACCCAACATATTGTATGAGTTCTGTTTCAATAGATAGGGAGCTTCCTGGACAAAGAATACCCGATGTGGCTACAGTAAGAGCTATTTTGCAGCAGTTATTTCAGATCTAAACTTGAAAAACAGTAAAATGTTTCTTCTCAAAAGAGAAGAAAATGTATCTGTTATAATTATAAAAGGCATTTAAAAATATTTAGGGGTTCCTGTAGTTACAAGAAGTTAAAAAATAATTATTATTATGTAAGTTTAATCATCTCCAAAGTGCCTGAGCACTATTAAGTACACGTATCAAGAGACACTCACCTTCTAAGCATTCCTTCTTATTGTCTAGCTTCTCATGAGCCTTTGCACGTCTGAAGAGAGCTTTCACATATTTAGGATTAAGTTCCACAGCCTTTGTACAATCTTGTGCCACTTCTGTCCATTTTTGCTGTGGGCAGAAAAACACAATGAAAGAAGCCCTACTCAGCTGCATAATGTAAGCTTTCTGCTACCAACTCGAGGGTCATGCCCACCTAACAGTAGCTGCAGTTCCCAGGGCTCTGGTTCTACCTGCTGGCTTCTATTTCTGCAAGTTTCTCAGTAAGAAACTGTCAGGAGCCACTGGAAGCCACCTGCACCAGAAGAGCCACAAAACAGAAAAGCAATTCCTACAGAAAAATGAAACCAGACAGTTTTTGTACAAAGCATATGGGAGAAGATGCAGATACTCGCAGGAAGTAACATTGGAACTGAAAGACTGGTACACACACAACAGGAGAAAAAGGGTGAAAACACAATGAAAATCAACAAACAAGTTTAACAAAGTACTAAAACTGATAGTTTTGGGGCGTCTTTTTCACTCATTTTTTGTTTTCGTTTGTTTGTTAGTTTTTGATTTGATATTGCAATTCACTACACTTACTACAAAGGAATGATAAATTCATATGTAGGAGCAGAACTGGCTATGACTATTAAAAACTAAAAATGCACTTATCTTCTATGAGGTTATGAATGCCCCCTCCCTGGAAGCATTCAAGGCCAGGCTGGGTGGGACTTCAAGCAAACTGGTCTAGAGGGAGGTGTCCCTACCTATAGCAGGGGGTTGGAACTAGGTGATCTTAAAGGTCCCTTCCAAGCCAAACCATTCTACGATTCAAAATTAATGATCAAAAGAGGCTTTTCTAATAACTGAAAAAGAACCACGTACATTTTTTAGTCAGCCATTAATTACGGCGTGAATTAGTATTATAAATGGTACTTCATTAAAAAAGAAACAATTTTATCCATCCTCTATCACAGAATTAATGAGTCCTTAAGAGTTGGAAGGGACCTCTGTGGGCTGTCTAGTCCAACTCCCCTGCGCTGAGCAGGGACACCACAGCTACATCAGGTTGTTCAGGGCCTGATCCAGCCTCACCTTGAAAGTCTCCATGGATGGGGCACCTACCACAAGACTAGGCAACTTGTTTCAATGCCTCATCACCCCCACTGTAAAAGATTTTTCCCTTTTATCTGACCTAAATCTAGCCTCCCTGAGCCTGAAGCCATTTCCCCTTGTTCTATTGCCTCAGATCCTGCTAAAAAGACTGTTCAAGCCTTCTTTTCTTAAATCATTCAGTTTCTAACTTGATACTCCAGACTACATAAAGCCAATTTTTCCATTCCTTTATACAGCTTACCAACTTGACCTTAGAAGCAAATCTACTGATATCATAATGAAAAACACATGATAGTTGATTTCTAAAAACTAATATCACATATGCACAGCTACCAAGTAATTACTTCCACATGTGCAAAGTTTAGAGCTTGGGCTTTCGTAGATGCTCTGTGACATTTCATTTTTGAAGTGGCATCCCCTGAAATACTAGGCCTTTCACTCAACAGTTAAAGCAATGGTCTTGTAAAGAGAAACAAAACTAACAAGTAAACAAGAAAGTTATTCCAGAGGGTAAGAAATTAAAACCCTGTCTAATAAGAGAGGGGTACTTAAGAATCACCTAAGACAGACTCTAGTTAACAGAACATTATTTGAGTTGTATGTGGAATAGCACAACAAACAAGACAAAAACACCTGCAAGCAATGGCATCTTGCTGTGAATGCAGCCCATATCACCACCTGGGATCTTTCAGTGGACAAAAGTGAAAGTATACAATAATTTAAAATTCAACTTTTTAGAATAAACATAATTCACTACTTTCTTACCAGCTGTTCATAGGCAGCAGCTCTATTTTGGTAGAAGGTAGAAAGATCAAGATTTCTCTCAGGAGGGCACAGGCTGATAGCCTCAGTATAACACTGAATGGCTTGCTCATATCTTCCAGCTTTAAAATATTTGTTTCCTTTGTTCTTGGCTGCTTGGGCTCTATCAAGAGGGCTCTGAAAAAAAAGAGAAGGAAAAACAGTGATTGGTCAGTTTGAGTAAGAAAAGCTTTGCTCCTCACAAGCAAGGTACTTAAGGGTCCATCTTCAAAAATATACAATGGAGGTCTGTGTTAAATTATAGCCTGGACTTCTGAAAACCTCCCTTCCCTTTCATTGGGAACAAAAAAAACCAATTTCAGGTGCAACCATATGAAATAGCAGACAAGCTGCTAGAAGATTCACTACAAAGGGACAAGTTTTAATCTACTGTGACTGGTGATCAGAAGAACCAATGAGATTTCTTGTTGAAATTGAGAGATACTTCTCCAAAGACAAGTGTGAAGACCACAAAGCCCTCAAAGCAATTCAAATAGGAAAAGTTTGCTACTGAAATACATACAGCCCGTGAGATCAGAGTTGACTCAGTAGAACACGAACTAAGAAAAACACTTTCTGCAAAAACTCAACTGCTTTGTCTCCCTTCCACTGGGCTAATGAACTTCACAGCCTTACACAACCTGCTCATCCATCCGCTAATAGAAAGTGCTGAACCATCACGGTTCTGTCATTCTTAGCAGACGATGGAAAACTCTGTGCTACCCAGCCTGTGACCTTGCTAAATGAATCTCTACGTTGTGCGCTGCCCGTTGATCACCTGTGTTTGAGGAAACCTGTGCATGTAACTCCCAAACTGGTTATCATAAACACAGCTTATGATGAACGAGATGTAAAAAGGGCTTTCATCAAAGGCCTGTGACTCATATTCAAGACACACACAGCTGCAGAAGATCCTAGTGCTTATCTAGACTTCCCCAGCCTACCTTCCGCAATAAACACAGTGGGTCACATCAGACTGGCCTACCAGACCGAAACAAACAGAGGTTTGAACACACATGCCATTTGATCAACCCCTCTGAGGAGGGAAAGTGCACAAAACTGGGGACAGTAATGCCTTAAATAACAGCTGCAGGATTCGCTAGTTCTCACTTGCTGAACAGATCACCTCAGGCCTGCTGACAACCATAAACATCATCCTTCTCTGACCATACTTGTCTCTCATTGTGCCTCTCATTTGCTGCCAGCATCACCAACTACACCCAGACTGCTATCACATACACTTCAAAGCATCTTTTCATCAGCCCATTTCCCCTGATGTCTGCTTATTTGATGCCAGTCTGACCGTTTTTAGCATCTAAACGATTTTTAAAACTGGAAACTTGAAGGGAAAGCTAGGAGTTGCAGTACAGGCCTCTTCTAAAGCCTGGTTTTCAACCACAGCATGAGAAACATCAGACAGTGGGTGCCAGCCTTAAGTTCCAATAAAAAAAAAAAAAGTGTTCAGATATTACAGAAATATTCTACAGGCATTCTCCTGGGGAGAGACTTACCAATGAAACCGTAAAAGGAAGAGTATTTTTTAAATATCCCTACTGCCAGCAAAGCTCTTCAGTAACGCCTCACCAGTCACTAGGCTTACAGGAATGCCATCTGTGCCATCTCCACTGCTCACAGAACAAAATAATCTGCACCGCTAAGTTTTTATTTCAGTGATTTAAATTCCAGCTGGTAAAAGATGATTAACTGCAACCCTTTCCACTCATTGTTTTCAACTGCGTGGATACACAAACTAGAATTGGAGTGCAAATTCTTCTATAGGAACCATAAAATTGTATTTTTGATCAATTGTTACTTAAAAAATTAGACCTAAATCTGAAGGGAAGGTTACATTTACTTCAAGTATGTTCTAAGTATGGCTTTTTCCTTCAACTCCTGCTTCTCATACAACTAATACATGAAACAAACAAATTTAAATGCACAGAAGTCAGCTTGATTTTCTTTCTTCTGTATTTCTACAAATATCCTTGTGAAATAGTTCCAAGTCACCCAGTATCAAACAGAAAAACATCCAGGACAAGTGAGTCATGTTGTAACATTCAGACCTCTGTCCCCTATATCAAAACTTCATAAGACTGATAAATTGCTAACTTGTGGTCACTGCCATATCCCTTAGCCCAGGGATGTACCACCCCAACCTGCACTGCAGGCTGCCCGCTCCGTCTGCTCCATCCCACGCACTTTGACTGCCCTGCACTGTGCTGCCATTGCCATGGGACACGCCACAAATGACAGCTGCATAACAGCCAGGTGCAATGGCTGCTCCAGTGCTCTGACCCATATCCCACAGCAAGAAATCTAGTTCTGGGGTGCTCTGCTGGCTCCTGGAAATCATCAAGCCTTCAGAAAAGCTTAAGTGTATGCAACAGGGACTGGGGCACTGGAGAATATGGGCAAGATGCCAAAGGGAAAACCTTCAAAATCAGTAGCTGTTACCAGAACAAGGCGTGATTAATAGCAGTAGAGCCAAATAATATACAGTGAGCTACAAGGAAAAGACAATTCAGTGATCACTCACTGCCTCATGCATTACATGAGGCAAGTAACTTGGGGGTGGAAGGGCCCAAGTCAGAGAACAACATAACATACTGCCATGTAATAAAGCCATTAATAATGCCCATGCAAGAAGGAAATGAACTTTTTTCTTGTACTGCCTGAAGCAAGCAAGATTCCTAACTCATGAATGGTCACATCTCTGCAACCTTTGTCACATTATTCTGCTATAGCTCTCTCTACACTCACAATGTACCATTCTCAAATGGCTGCCATGTTACACTCGGGCTGATACAGCTCTGTATCATGAATACATATATCTGATAGGGATTTATACAAAAAACAGTTGTTTACCATCTCGTACCCATGAAAAACAAATCGCATACAAACCGTATACAGAGTGTGCAATAGAAATAACAAAAATGGCACATTTACTTCTCAAAGCCCCAGAGCTTATAAACCACAAGGCTTCCTTCTACTCCCAACTTCACAAGAAGGGAGTTTTATTTCATTCTCACCAGTGGCACTTGGTCCCATCAAAAGACAGAAGATACACTTTCAGGGCATTAATACTATTATTTCAGCAAGGAGATCTCAGGTTGACACACTGCAGACACAGAGAATGTAGGACTTCCCTGGGTGTTCTCACCGCAGAGCCATAGGACCACAGGTGCCAACATAAAGGCAGCAATTACAGTAACTTTCACTAACACATCTCCTCTAGAGTACAATTTTTCTTACTATTGATTTTTTTAAGACCTGAACTGGGTTGGCATACAGATGTTTGACACAGCCACACCAAAACAAAGTATGGATTTTCCATTACAGCCAAAAGCTGGGTGATTTTTTGACATGCGTCACGGTTTACTCTGCTGTTTAATACACACTCCTGACACCCACCATTTACGTGTCTCTATAATAGTTATGTTACAAAATACTCAATAAAATGAGCAAAATATAACTCGGTAAAAATAAATGCTTTTTTTCATATCTTGACAACGTTTCAGAATTTGTATGCAACTCGGAAAGGAAAAAACAACCCAACCACATCTCTGTATTTAGGACTGCTTTTAGCAGCTGTTCACTACGGGTCTTAAAACCTAGACTTCAAGCCAGAGGACACTTGTGTATTTGAGAAGCGATCAGTTATCTAGCTAACCAAATAAGCAGATTCCTAGTTTTCTAAAGACCAGGCAGCATGGGCCAACGTCTGTTAACTATTACTCTGACCTCAGCAAATGTGCTCTCCTCACAAACTGTTCAGAAACTGCCATGCAAACAACAGCCACTTAATGGCAAAAGGCAGGCAGCTGCTTGAAGAAAGCACAGCAACCTCCAGCAATGCTGATACAAATGAATTACAAGTTGGTTGGGTTTGAGGGATGTCATTTTTTAAAGCAGGATGAGAAATTTGCTGCCAGCAATGATGGCAGGAGTTTACAAAAAGGAACACCAGTGGCGTGTTTCAGTATTTTCTTGTGACTGAAAAGGATTTGCATGATTTGTATGAGCCCTTTGCTAACAGACAACACGGAGAAGGGGAACTAATACTCCAGCCATCCATCTCAATTCATCAGCTTCCAAAGAAACTGTGGTATACACCTCTTTCTTCCTCTCCAAGCAAGAGGGCCCTCTTGATACGATCAGGCACCAAAAAAGTATTGTTTTCACTACTACTCAATATCCATCTTTCCTCCCTTCTTTTTTTTTTTTTTTTGACTAATGTTCACTTCAAGTCTTATCTCAGAACCACACCGAAAGGTTTTAACCAAGCATAAATGGTTTTAAAACTCTCCTTAGCAATAAAAACAATGGGAGAATAAATATTCCACAAATATAAGCTACCAATTCAGAGCTCTAACTAGGATGTGTTACAAACAATCAAGTTCAAACTTACAGCACAAGTGGTCAATGCTCTTCATCTGTCACCTTCCTTTTAAATGAGCGCCATCCATGCCTACCATGAATAACAGAGCTGCCTGAGCTGCCAGGAGTCCAGCAATTGTTCCACCGCTATTACACACGCATTTAGGTTTTCTACACCTGTCTCCTACAGCTGACATGAAACACAGAACTCACAGTAGGTTGATAAGATCTATTACACAACAGGTGGACAATACAACAGACACTTCTTACACTTTTTGCTTAAATTAATTCAAAATGAGTACCAAAAAAAATACATCTAGACAAAGGCAAAGTCTTTTTATACAGTGATTTAACATTTCAGCACTGAGACAGGTAACATTCAGCAAATGCTATTAAAATAGATCCTGGAAAGAAGCCATGCTTGCTGGCTGTTGATCCTGGTATGTGGCATCACACAAGCCAACGAGCTTGGTCACATTCACCCAGCACTGCACTCTAGTAAGCATACTCAGCTCAGAGGAAAACACTGAGCAAAAATGTGCTCGACAGCAAAGTCCAGCTGTGGACTGAAGCAGCTTTGTCTGTGAAAGACATTGCCACAGAACAGACAGAGCTGCTCAATACTTCTTGGCATATCAAGCAAAGGGTTAGCCTCGAACTTGATGAAATAGTGAATGGGTGAGATATGGTCTATTACAGATTTGTTAAAGAAATTATTTCAACTTAAGTGGAAAAAAATACTGAAGCATCCAGCACATTACCCACTGATTCCTCTCATTCGTCTCATATAAGAAGGACAAACTTGTTAAGAAGTTACCACAAAGTAAAGAACACAAATCAACTGAGTATGAACCAATGCAACAATTTTAAGTTATGCCAATATTCCCCACAAAGTGGAGCATCTAAAAAGCAATTACTGTCACTGAGTAGTTAAAACACGTTCCATCCAAACTATGAGCCATAATGACAACACTGGTAACGAACAGATGCAATATGATTTTCTGACCTTTATTTGAACATCCATAGATACATTTTTATCATCAATGCTTAATTGGTAAAAGAATACCAGCTCACTGTACTGTTGAGGAGCTAAGCTTATAAAAGAAGCAATGTCAAGACCCTTGGAGCTTTTCCCAGTATAGCACCTGTGCTAAGGGCTTCTGCCAACACGACGCCAGTCACAGTCGGCCACTGCATCTATGCCAGGAGGCTCCTGTAGCACAGACACAACCTGGAGAAAAATGCGAGGCTTCTGCAGCAAGTAAAACTAAAGCTTCAACTGCATGCAAAATAGTAATAAGTGGAAATAAAGAACAAAGAAGACTTTAGATACTTTTAAAGAACAGAAAAAAAAAAAAATAAATTGAGGTTGTACCTTCAGAAACAGCAAATGGAACAACAAATGAATGCAGAAGCTGATTTAAATAAATTCTTAAGGAAAAAAAAACTAATCTAAGTCCTAAGTAGCATACATAAGTAAAAGAACAGTTACCAGACAAACAGTTATACATCTCTTGGTAGCCCATCCATTACCAACCAATGCCTTTTCTAAAGGACTTTCCACTTGTGTTTAAGCCGTGAAATGAATTACTGACGCCTTACATCACCATACAGATCTATACTCAAAATCTGACTTATCCCAACTTATCAGAAAGGTAGACCAATACAATGCAGAGCAGATAGTTAATAAGTAAACATCTGCAAAGATCGTATTTTGAATCAAGAGTCCTACCAATGGTATCTATAACTAATAAAATGTGAGGAAACATGACATCTACACGACATCATATCTTTGGACATGATGAACACGAAGACAACCCTTTCCATACACACGGAGGGAAGCAGCTGCCACATGAATTGCTCTGCAGCAGCCGTATTTAGACCAGCTAGTCCACTGTCATATGTAATCAGGCAAATCTGATACCACCTTCTTCTGCTTTCCTAAGTAATGTTCATCATTTTGTTGCACTACACAATTACACTCATCAGGTAACTCTGGGTCATACCATTCAACCATATACTTACTGTTAAATGCACAGAGTCCAACAGCAAGTTATTTTGGGGAGCAATTTGAAAGAGGCAGACACTCAATGTTTCAAACCAAAAAAAAGCTGTTTACATAAAAGATATTTCTTGCTTCACATTCAACAATGGAATGACTACAAACTACTTGACAGTATACACTGAAATCCAGAAATACAATCAAGTAATGCAGAGCTAACGTACACTAACAGAAAAATCACAGCTACTGAACAAAGTGCACAGGTAGCCTAAAAACTGGAGCTCACCTGTAGTAAACAGTCACAGGAGCACCAGATGTTGTTTGCAGCCTACTACAACAAAGTAGTCCTCTGTGCATCGCTGGCTCAGAACAAATCATTATACCCAAATGACTGCCTCCAGGTCCAGCAAAGGTTTTATAGCTCACTGCAGTTCTATCATGGCCTATCTGTGAAGCTGTCACCTTCTCCACCACTCCTTTGTGTTCCCCTCACTGCCGGTCCATCGCTCACAGAACATTAACCTTTATCACTGAAGTGTTAAGGGTTAAAAATTACCTTCTCGTACCTCCTAAACAGTTTTCTCACTACACACAGACCAGGACAGATTATCTAGGTCGTTTACAAGAACGAAAGGAAAAAAAAACAAAAAAAAAAAAAGAGACGTAGGAATACCTTAATGGGATTTACTTAACAATGGCAGCGTGGCTCTAAGCTAGCTCCAGTCAGCCGCGTTTAAAACTAGCTGCTGTACGCCAACAAGAACTTCAGCGCAACTAAAACAAGAGCACTGATTGCTCTCCCACTCAAGATGTAACGCTGGAGGTGTGTTTACCAGTTGCAACTTCCCAGCAGCACGACACGAGTGTCACAGTGCACCTGTGACCGCGGATACAGTCACGGGAAGCAACGGCAGAAATATCTCCCACAGACAGGTATACAAGGGAACCGCGCATCTGATTCTGACTTCGATTCTGAAATCGCCCTTCAGCTTCTGGGGAGTTTTGCCTGAAAACCCTCAGCAAAGTCACTCACGGCGGGATAAACGCAAGCTTCGACAGCATTTCTACGAAGGCTAACCCTGGCCCCGCCGTTAGGCACGACGCCTGTCCCCTCCCCCCACCCCAACGGCCGTGCCGGGGGAGTGGCCGCGCCAACGGCCGCGGCACGCGCTCACCATCTCCTCGTGGCCGGGCCCATCGGGCTGCGCGCCGCCGCCATAGGGGCCGGGGCTGGCCCGCCCTTCGGGGGTCTTTCGCTCGCTCGCGCCCTTCCCGCCGCGGCGGGCCGCTCGCCGCCCCCACAGGTAGACAGCGCCGGCGCCCAGCAGGATGGGCGCCCCCAGCACCAAAGCAAGCTGCCAGCGGGACAGACCCGTGCCGGAGCCGCCGCCGCCCGGCGCCTCCACGGGCTTCGAGGCGGCCATGACTCGCCCACACAGCCGCCTGTGGGAGGGGAGGGACGGGGTCACCGGACACGCGGGGAGGCCGGGAGAGCGCGGGGCGGGAGAGCACTTCCGGTCTATTCGGCCCACAGCGCCGCCTGCCGGCTAGGAGGACCCCAGATGCTGTGCAGCGCGGTCCTAGAATCGCAGAACCGTAGAATGGTACGGGTTGGAAAGGACAGTATCACACAGAATCACAGAATCGTAGGGGTTGGAAGGGACCTCTAGAGATCTTCGAGACCAACCTCCCTGCCAAAGCAGGTTCCCTACAGCAGGTAGGTAGGCATCCAGGCGGGTCTTAATCTCCAGAGAAGGAGACTCCACCACCTCCCTGGGCAGCCTGTTCCAGTGCTCCGTCACCTCACCATAAAGAAGTTCTTGTGCACATTCGTGCGGAACTTCCTATGCTGCAGTTTCCGGCCGTTTCCCCTTGTCCTGCCTCCATGTACCACTGAAAAGAGATTGGCCTCACCACTCTGCCCCCCACACCTTAGATATTTATAGACCTGGATTAGATCCCCTCTCAGTCTCCTTTTCTCAAGGCTGAACAGACCCAGGTCACTCAGCCTTTCTTCATAGGAGAGATGCTCCAGGCCCTTCACCATTTTTGTGGCCCTCCACTGGACTCTTTCCAAGAGATCCCTGTCTTCTTTGTGCTGAACACAGTACTCCAGATGAGGCCTTACCAGGGCAGAGTAGAAGGGGAGGATCACCTCCCTCGACCTGCTGGCCACGCTCTTTTTAATGCATCCCAGAATGCCATTGGCCTTTTTGGCCACAAGGGCACACTGCTGGCTCATGGCCAACCTGTCATCTACCAGGACACCCAGGTCCCTCTCTGCAGAGCTCTTCTCCAGCAGCTCATCCCCCAGCCTGTATTGCTACATGCAATTATTCCTCCCTAGATGCAAGATCTACGCTTGCTTTTGTTAAATCTCATCTGGTTTTTTACTGCCCAGCTCTCCAGCCTTTCCAGGTCTTGCTGAATGGCAGCACAGCCTTCAGGCGTGTCAGCCAATCCTCCCAACTTCGTATCATCAGCAAACTTGAGGGTGGCCACTATCCCCTCATCAAAGTCACTGATGAAGATGTTGAACAAGACCAGACCCAGCACTGACTCCTGAGGAACACCGCTAGTTAAAGGTCTCCAGCCAGACTCTGCACCACCAATGACGACCCTCTGCGTTCTGCCAGTCAGCCAGTTCTCAACCCACCTCACTGTCCACTTGTCTATCCCACACTTCCTCAGCTTTGTTATATGGACGTCGTGGGAGACAGTATCAAATGCCTTTCTAAAATCAAGGTAGACTACATCTACCGCTCTCCCCCCATCCACCCAGCATGTGACAACATCATAGAAGGCCACCAGGTTGGTCGAGCACGGCCTCCACTTGGTGAACATGATTTCAAAGATGATCTAGTTCCAATCCCCTGCTATAGGCAGGGACACCTCACTTTAGACCAGGTAACCACAGCAGTGTAACCGCTTCTTTTTAAAGTTATTGACTGAATCTGTCATGGGAATCATTAAATAAGCAATACTGGAACTGTGTATCTGTTGTGTATTCATGTGACTACGTCAACTCTGCACACTTATCGATAAGAAGGGAAAACTGACATTCCTATCTCCACTTACCCTGCAGAATTCAGCTCACGATATGGAGAAGCTGCCCCTGGTCCCATGTCATGCTCGGGTAGTGCTTGTCATCACATAGCAAAAATTTCCTAGCAAGTGGGAAGGAAAATGAATAGAAGTGAAGACATAGAATCAGAATCATAGAATCATAGAATTTCTCAGGTTGGAAAGACCTTAAAGATCATCAAGTCCAACCACAACCTAACCATACTACCCTAACTCTATCAACCCACCACTAAATCATGTCCCTGAGCACCACATCCAGATGATTTTTAAACACATCCAGGGATGGTGACTCAACCACCTCCCTGGGAAGCCTATTCCAGTGCTTAACAACCCCTTCTGTAAAGAAGTTTTTCCTGATATACAACCTAAACCTCCCCTGGTACAACTTGAGGCCATTTCCCCTCATCCTGTCACCTGTCATCAGTGAGAAGAGACCAGCCCTGCTCTTGCTGCAATCACCTTTCAGATATTTGAAGAGAGCAATAAGCACACGTAGCACTATGAAGGAAGAAAAAAGTGCTGAAAACAGAAACAATGGCATGGTTGTGAGGCAAACACCTCAGAAGCCCTGTTAATGTTTTCCAAAGTGAGTTTGGGTTTGCCCTGAGTGCTGATGATCTGAGTACCAGGGCATCCTGGCCTCCTGTTTGCTACAGGGTTTATTCATTCAGCTGCAGCAGCGGCTCCTTTTTTATTTCCCACTCTTCCCATCTCTCATGGAGCCCTGGTAATTTGCTTGGTGTGATCTGCTGTCCTGCTGGACACTCAGTATGTCTTGGTGCCTGGTAATAAACAGCTCTTTCCATGTGTGAATTATCGTAATTTGCCTAAGTATATTTTGCCAAAACTGTGGGATTGTCTCATTTTTCCATCAGCTGTTTCAGCACAGCAGAAGCACTTTGCACTTTATGTAACAGAATAGAAGAACCTTATGCCATACAGTACAAGTGGCATATCTACAGGCTGATAGATTCCTACCAGGATGGTCTGAATTTCTGCCACATGTTGTCTTTTATGACCCAGGATAGTCCCTTGCATATACCTTTCCTGTAGCCTCAGGGTGTGCAGAAAAATTTAGGCTCTCAGAATATGGTCTGGAGTACTCTTCTCTACTTGAACAATTGGCCTACATGTCCTTTTTACTCAGATGTATTTTTACTGTGCCATTTTGTAGGTATTCTTGTCACCCCTATCCCTTCACACTTTCACCAAGAGCACATCCTACTGCACGTTTGCTTATGACTCTACGCTCTAATGTGCAACATCCAAGGATATTCTGTGTGTATACCCATGTTCTACAGTTTTCTGTGCTACACATGGTCTCATTGCCCCAGACAAAACAAAACTCACATAGGTATCTATTACCAATCAGTTCTTTCACCTGTATTATTCAGAATGAAGAGTCCTACATCTGAGTTACGGTACTGGGAGAGCTTAAGCCTCACATCTACACAGACTTGAATGAAACTAGAGTTTTCCTATCACATCCGTATACTGCTAAATAGATTAGAGACAAGCGGCAAGGTTTAATGCTGTATCATTGATTGCACATAATGCTAAACTGCTAGTAAGCTTTTTGGTATACTTTTGGACAGTGCTGACTAATATCTCTAAGACGATATCAAAGCATCAGGAGAACACTTGGCTACCTAGCACACACCAATGCTTCCAATAGGAAGATAGATTTATGTATTTTCTCCTACGCAATTTTCCATAGTTACCCCAAGAGGCTCCACATCCTCTAAACACTCCTTCACTTCCTTCATCTGTGTTCCAAGGCATGTAACACTGTAGCATATTTCAGTTTCATGTTTTACAAACAACATTTTAATGTGCTACAAACAGAGTTTTCAGGTTACATCAGCTATGCTGAAATTTAAAATAAAAGCCACAAATATTATAACAAGATACTGGTAGCACAAAAATGTAGTGTAGAATGACTGAGTCCAATTTAGCCACTTGGTCTCAGGAACGAGGAACAGTCCCCTACTCTGTTCTGTTTTACGGTGTAGACACAGTCAATAGTCTACACCCAGTGCTTGGTTAGGAGGTCAGACTCATTCCTACTCTGTGTTCAGTGTGCTCAAACCAGGCCCATCATAAAGCAGATACAACAGATGAAACTATTTTGGTGAAAAGCAAACGACGCACATTCATGCATCATGCCACGACCCAAAAATGAACTATTTTCTCAGGAGAGCCTTCGTTCCAGAGAGACCATATTTCCTAGACACCAAAAGGAAGCACAGAGGCAACAGAGATCAGCAGCAAGGGCAGCATGAAGAGGGCTATTTGTCCTGCCTTCCACAAAGTCAGTTAGGCCTCTGCAGGCAGATGTGCCAGTTTGTGACCACTGTCAATATGTCAATTCTGCTTCTCAAAATCACAAGCCTGCTTTGGGTTAGAGTACACGCCTTCCAGGCATGTTACTGTGGGCAATTCTCCATTGGCATTGACAGCTGATGCGCTCAACTGCAATGTATATGCAGTAGAGAACATATTTCCCTTCCTATCAGCTCCCTGCGGCACTGTCACTGAACATCTCTGCAATGGAAAGATTAAAAGAAACCTTGTTGAAAATAGATGAGAAAGGATTGATTTTATGTTTAGACAGTGCCTAGGGTTGCAGTGGGTTGGGCTTTGGGGGGTGAAGTGCAGAAAGAGTGGCTGAAACTGCATCTCCTCTTCCTCTTGACAGAACAGTGTGAGGCTATTGGCTTACTGGAAGCCTTCGATACAGCTTTTCCTTGTCTGGCTGGGAGACTGCTGCAAATTTGGAGTGTCTGTACATGGAATATGAAGAGGATGATGATATTTCCTTTGCAAGATGGATGAGCAGTTTCTGGGGCCACAGCTTGATTGATGAGAATGAGAAAGAGAGTAGAGGCCACAAGAAACGTCAAACACGATCCCTTAGTGAAAGGAGAGCCTCCCTTCCGGTAAGAACTGCGTGCAGTTTTCTGTGTTCATGTGTGTGTGGCTTATGTATAATCTTCAGTGCAGACATCCCAAAAGTTAACCCTAGAGATCTGCTGGGATGAGAATGTCTCACTTACCTTGTCAACTAGGTTCAGTTCCTACTGGCAGAAGTTGCTTCTCAAACTCAGCTCCCTCCAGAAGCCTCAGAGGTCTTTGGGATAGAGGAAGATGAGAAAACTTCATGATGAGGAAAGACGGGACCAAAAAATGGAAGAATGCGATAACTGCTGGAGTCCTAGCTATGCATTATGATTTTCTGTCTGGTAAAGCATGACCTGACAGAGATACAAGCACTTCAGAAATCTGGCGTGCACGAACTTGTCTTCAATGAGTATGTTCTCACATGTAAAACTACATAAGCCTATACACATTCATTGGATTTTGACCTAATTCTACAACCACT